TTGTGGCGGGCACCTGTAGTCCCAGCTACTTGGGAGCCAGAGGCAGGAGAATTGTTTGAAAAGCAGGAGTTGGAGGTTGCTGTGAATACTCTACCCAGGAAGACAGCTTGAGGCTCTGTCTCAAAAAATAAAAAATAAAAAAAATTTGAACACTTGGAGGGCCACACCCCAGATGGGGCTCTAAAACCTCCCACAGCCCAGCACCTGCCTGTCCTCCCTCCAGGATACCTCAGGTCCCTGCCCCTCCACACCCCCAATAAAACTCCTATTAAAAAAAAATACATTTTTAGGGATCCCCTGGAGCCCAGAAATTCAAGGTTACAGTGAACTTGCATTTGTTGTTGTTGTTTTTGAGATAAGAGTCTCATTCTAACCTCAAACTCCTGGGTTCGAGTGATCCTCCTGCCTCAGCCTCCTGAATAGGTGGGACTACAGGCATCTACCACAACGCCCAGCTAATTTTTCCATCTTTTAGTAAAGTTAATCTTCACTCTTGGCTCAGGCTGGTCTCAATCTCCTGAGCTCAGGCGGCACCTGTGGCTCAGTGAGTAGGGGCGCTGGCCCCATATACCGAGGGTGGTGGGTTCAAACCCGGCCCCGGTCAAACTGCAACAAAAAAAATAGCTGGGCGTTGTGGCAAGTGCCTGTAGTCCTAGCTACTCAGAAGGCTGAGGCAAGAGAATCACCTAAGTCCCGGAGTTAGAAGTTGCTGTGAGCTGTGTGACGCTGCCATGGTACTCTACCAAAGGTGATAAATTGAGACTCTGTCTCTAAAAAACAAACAAACAAAAAAAACCTCCTGAGCTCAAGGAGTCCTCCTGCCTTGGCCTCCCAGAGTGCTAGGATTATAGGTTTGAGCCACCCCCCGCCCCTAGTCCATTCTATCTCTTAAGACAAAGAAACATTGGCTGTTATATTTTTTTTCTTCAAAAGGCACCTTTGAGAAAATTCAACTAGTTCTAGACCATCCAGTCAACAGGGAGGGACGGGAAGAGACTGTGAAGACAGCCACAATGAAACAGTACATACATCAGTGACATTTTAGCACAGCTTCCCTCCAGTCCCCGGGGGTTCCTTCTTGTGGCCATTTTAGTGGCCCTAGAGCCACAGGAGAAGGAAGGAGAGCCAAGATCACTGGGAAAATCCACTTCTAAATGTATTCCTCTAGAAAGGAGTTTTCCATAAAGTCAAACAGTTCCAGGCCAGAATCACACACTTCAAAGTTCACTGGCCCTGAACCACACAGGCACATTTGGGCTGTGCTTGGCTGAGCCCCCAGGCTAATTCATGGTGGTTTTCAAATTGTGTTCCAAGGAGCCCTAGACACTTTTCTTTTTTTTTCTTTTTTTTTTTTTTTTT